TCAGCCGCTTTGCTCCTGTCCTTTTTCATAAGAGCAGTTGAGCCGGAAGTTTTTTGGATTGGAAAACGTATTCCTTTTTGTTAGCGCGAGTCGACACGCCTATTACTAACCGGAAATCATCTACAGGAGCTGGAGGGGACGGCCGTCGTCTACATCTTGACGTTGCGCGGTGGATTTGTTGCGCGAAACCTCGAGAGCCTCATGTATCTTTGAGAATGCTTGCAGACGCGCATCGGTAGCATGGGACGGGCCCTCGTCCTGTCCCATGCTACCGATGCTACCGTGTTTTAGTAGTAGTAGTATTTGTTTTTGTTTCAGTGTAGTATTCTTTTTTATCTATTTTAACTGTAGTTTAGTGTCATAGCGATAAACCACTTGATTAACCTTATGTTCTGTTCGGTCGCGCGTTAGTGCGCAGTAGGCTAGGTACGTCGTTTAGTATCGGGCGAGCATCAGGCCTCGGGTAACATCTAGGTGCAAGAGCCCACCGAGTCGCCACATGGTGCATCGACGCCGAGCTCATGGTGGATGCGGTTATTCTCCGCGTGTGGGTTTTTTTGGGTAGCCACGTCCCTAAGTCGCGATGGGTAGGTAACATCTCAGCAGGTTTTCGCGCAGTAGTAGCGCAATTTTAGCTGTCCCATCCCCCATGCGTGCTTAACGATCCTGTAGTCTACCACGCTCCGAACCTAGTTCAACATCAGGGAAGTAGTTGGACAGGGCCTGCGTCATCTAGGTCAAACACATAGCATTGCAGCCGCGCACAGTATAGCCAGCGCGTGGGGTGATTTAGTGGGTAAGATGGTGGCAGCTCTCGCCAACTATGAGCCCCTCCCGGGAGCGCACTGTCTTATACTGGTATGACGGGGGACTCAGAAGAGCTATCTGGAGTGGTATGAGGTCGTTGTTCTGGCCTTTTAGCCGCAGGGGCAAGAATTACGCAGGGTATCCGCAGGGGCTAATTCGCTGTAGGGGCAAAACCGTCGTAGGGACATCCGCAGGGGGAGGTCACTGCAACAATCCCATACCCATGGCTCCAGGTAGTTCTTTCTGGTATGCAGCCGTTTTGCTTTGTTCATGCGCTATTCTCGTCGCTCTACGGGGAACGCTCTGTCCCTTCTTGACCACCTTGTTCAACTACTTGCCTCGCGCCTACTGCTATCCTCCTAACGTTGCGCGCCAGCTGGGTTGTCTCCCTCCTTAGGGTTCGTAGTTTAGGTATTTCGTATGTAATAGCTTAAGCTCAGTTTTGAGCTAGTTTAGCGGATTGCCCCCTAACATTTTTGCGCAACCTTTGTTCTGCATATATTTGTCGTTCAATGTTGTTTAATCGTTCCGGCTGTCCCTCGCATTTTCAGATATGTCCGCTTTTGGCTATCAGAAGGCTCAACTTACGAAGGCGGCTAATAGACTGCGCAAGAAGATTGCGAAGGTCGAACAGGCCAATCTTGTTATGGAAAGCCCTAGATCCAGGCAAGGACTACGAACTTGTTAAAAATCATACTCGTTTTCTTTCGAACTTATTTTCTTTAATTAGTCGCGCTGCTTCTTCCTTACGCAGCCAGCGGGAGAAGGCTGAGGAGTTTGCTTGTCAGAACCCAGACGAGCATGGAGAGTTTTCCCTTCTCCAGGAGATTCTCGCGCACTGGGACTCCGATGAGATGGATGATCTCCTGGATGAGGCGGACACTCTGCTTGACCGTTTGGGTAATGAGATTAAACTCATGCCTAAGGCCCCGGGCAGACTTCACGCGATTTGATGTCGCGACTGAATCGCGACGAGACAACTGTTACAATATCATTCCATGCCGATCAACTTGCATTCGGTTGTAATACTTTTCCAGACCGAAATTTTTGAATGTGAAATGAAAATGAATGGAAATCTTGGCGATTAGATCGCGACGATTAAGTCGCGTGAAGTCTGTCCGGGGCCTAATGCGTATATGCTCTACGATCGTCATGTTTTTTCGGTTGCTTCCATGCCTACAGTCCCCAACTCCAACCTGTCACCGGCATCTTCTAACACCCTTCAACCTTCTGTCCCAACTCAGCAGCTCGCGCAAGATGCGGATGCCGAGCGTGTTACCCATCCGTCGGAACAGGATCGTGCATCTGATCCCTTATCAGTCGCGCCTGCTGTTCACCCCACTGCGAGCGACTCTGCGATCCCAACACAGGGTGAGCAGTCCTCGCAGCCTCCCCCTGGATCTGGCATTCCCCCGGGTAACCCCTCAACGGACCCCATTCCTTCGGCAAACCCGTACCCCCCTGGGATTCCCATCACTTTGCCATATCCTAACTCCCAGACTACTAACCCATCCTCGTCCCTAGTCCCACATCGTCCCGTCTAGTAGTCGTTCACCATACCCGCATACGACAAACTAGCCTTTCATGGCGACATCGCCAAATTCCCCGCATTTTGGACTATGTTTGAGAAGGCTGTGCACGTCAACACTAGTGTACCAGTTTCCTTCAAATTCATGTACCTCCAGTCGCGCATGAAGGGAGAAGCAGCAGAAATCATCGCGGACTTCGAACCTAATGAAGAGGATTACGCAGAAGCAGTACGCATTATCGAGAACACTTATAGCAGACCCGAGCTCCTTCGCAACCGTCTTTGAGAAAAACTCAAGCAGCAGGCACGCGCAAGAGATAGTGCTACTTCCCAGCGCATCACTCTGTGCAGTATAAGAGCAACTTGGGCCCAGATGAAAAGACTCATTGAGAAGTCTCGCTCTATCGCTCCGTTGAAAGTTCCCACGGCATACGTGCGAGAAAGTTGGCGAACTGAAGAAGAAGGAAGATCCGATGTGGACAGTAGATGAATTATTGGCAGCCCTAGATGACGTGGTAGATCAGCAGGAGAAGATAGAAGACACCGTCCCAGAGTATTATCCGACATACAACTCCGACTCTGCAGTTCGTCAAAGTTCTCTTTCCCCGCCCAGGTATCCTAGTAAGCAGCCGAGTGGAACCTCATACGATCAGTCATCTTGTCCAACTTGTTCGCGCAGCTTACGTTCACCACCTGGATACCATTCCGTGAGAAGTCGATCGCCAACACCATACTATCCGCGACGCTCGTCGCGCAGTCCAACATGTCTACCACAACACCAAGAATATCGTTGCGTCTTCTGCGAACTGGAAGGACACCGACCGGAGAACTGCTTCGAACTAAGGAGCGTCAAACAACGCAGAGCTATCGTTAACGAAAGCGGACTTTGTTGGTTGTGCTTGAACCAAGGTCATCAATGCAGATTTTGTTCAGCACCTACATGCGGATACTGTGGCAGAGCTCATCATCCTGCTCTGTGCTTTGATAGACCACGAGCGTCTTATTACAGGCCATCGACATCTACCTATTACCATGTATCGCCTAGACGCGTACAGTTTGAAGAAGAATCGTGTACCTGTCGTCGTGTACAACATAATTCACGCACACTCGCCGATTGTGAGCAAGTCAAGATTGCCTTCGTCATCCAGGCGCCAAAAGTATTCACCTAGTACAAGACGTGCGGGTTCCATTCTACGAGCGTCTAGCGCGCCTCCTGTCTCTCAAAGTTCTATCTGTATGATATGACTCCGCAGCCTACCTATTCGGGAGCGTCCGCAGAGTTGCAGGACGGACATCAAGCACAAGAAAGACCACTATCGCCATCTTTATGTGTGGTCAGGTGTGAAAAGATGTCCGCAACTCGAATGCCACGTCTTATGGTAGCGCATGCTTTATGCCACAATAACAGAACTGGAAAGGAAGAACTACTAACAGTCTTTCTGGACTGCGGTTCACAGTACAGTTTTGTACGTACATCCTTGGCCCACCATCTAGGACTTACGTTCAGTGAGACACGGACTATCACCACGGTAATATTTGAAGGACATCAACGCACGGAAGAATTGTCGAAAATCACGCTGAAGTTACGGGATAAGTTCAACGGCCCGATCGAGCTCCAATTTTGGACGCGCGACGTGATAATCACGGTTCCAAGGATGAATAACAGCGACGATGTCAGTGACGATGATCCGGATGAGAGAGTTGAAGTCGACGTGCTTATTGGAATGGACAACTACTGGCGAGTCGTCGACCCACACAGAAATGAGAGACTTTCATCAGGTCTCGTACTATCTTACACCCGGTTCGGACCAGTACTCTCTGGCTTTGCCGATCATCCACGAACAGCACCACTTCGACACCGACGCGTGAGCGCAAGTGACCACTGAGGAAAATAAAGGCGAACCACCAAATTTAACGTAATATTTTTTACTCTTTTCCAGTATAAATTTAGTTAAGTCACTTAGTTTCTTATTTGTTTTCCTTTTTACTTTGTTACTTTTTAACTTTTCCCCCTTTTGTGGTCAAAATTTAGGTCACCCTTTACCTTCCTTCCAATCCATTGCCTGCTCGAGCTGTCGCGCTGATCCATCTCTTCCGTTCTGACGGCATACAGGTGCTCTCCGTTACGCTAATGCAGGATGATACCCAGATGAGCTTATAGTCTGTTTTTCAGTCTTTTACCCGTTTTCTTCCTTTTGCTTCTACTCGGATTGTCGCGCGTAGCATGGATCTCACCTTCAACTGCGCCCCAAACTTGTCTTTAGCATTATCGCATACTGCTTTACCTAGTCCACATTCTGAACACGCGCTACATAAAATTCAGCTCGCGCGCTTTGTTTCGGCTATTCACTATGGTGCGAGAGGCTGGACTACGTCCATTCGGCAGCAGTTTTACGATTTTGCGTTTTTGGTATTGAAAAACAGCATATTGTGGTTGCAGTTTTTAGAGTTCATTGCACGTAGGTATATATTTGGCCCCATATCATCAGGGAAAACTTTTTTCCTTGCGCCCCAAACATCGGCAGTAAGCTCGCGCGCCCTCTTATGCCGTTTAGGTGCGCGCATTGTGGGGTTTGGTGTGTGGCTGTATGCTGGATCTTTCCGCTCGTACTATGGGCATTGTATAGTAAGCATGGTTCTTTTACACTGATTGTTAACCTCTGTGTTACAGTACCGTTCCATCAGTTGGTAACGCATTTTGGTCAAATGGAGCCATGCGTTTGTCTTGCTTATACCGAGGAAATGGTCCAGATTCCAACTTACGAGCAGCAGCCACTACGTTTGACATGTCCTATGATCATATCTTAATCACTTTTATAGCAGTAGTTTTTCGTAGTAGTTAGTCATTTTCACATACAGTGACCGCCAAAAAGTTGAGGACAAACCCCTTTCTCTTTTTTATCGCTCTTTTTCGGAGCGAAAACAAGGATAAAAAAATGTAATAATTGCATGAGATGATAGAGCTCTTCAAGATCTACAATTTACACTTTGAGTTTTTTGAGAAACATGTGTCCTAAAAATTTTAAAAATCTTTTTCTAAAAAAAAATCCGAAAATGGCCGCGTCACAATGTCGCGGACAATAATTCTTCGAACGCAAAAATTTTCTTTTGAGTCCTATTTTGCAGCGGAAACACAAGTTATCCAAACGGGTAAGCATCATAACTTATAATAACGGGCTAAGGGTTGTTTACGTTTGTGTGTGTTGTGTCTGAATCTCTGTCTGTCACGAAATTCATGGAGCGAGTTCCAATGAATTTCTTGAGCCCAAGTTTTGCACAGAGCATGCTCCTTGCATGAGAGTCCTGCACAAAAGCATGAGCGGATCCGTTATGTGGATCCCTCAAAAAATGCGTGTCGATCGGATCCACTTGGCTTTTGGTCAGTAAAATTGAGCCTGTAGCACAACTTTTTGCAAGGTGGATTGTCTGACAAGTTAATGTGCAAACGATGGAATTTAGCTCAAAAAATTGACCTAAAGTTTATTAATTTGCAAAAACGGCGCCAAAAGGATTTGGTTGCGTAAGTGTTCACTTTGCCAAGATTTCACCCGATCATTTGAAAAGATTTTTGCACAGAGATGTAGCCCACAGTGACATTGCATCTTATGGCAAATGCCAAGCCATGACAACTCCAAAAACCGATTCAAATCAGCATTTGTTCTTTTGGGAGAAGTTTCATTCACGCGAAATTACCGATCTCATATGGAAAAGCTTTTAGAATGAATAGTTGTTTACAAATCATTCGTGATAGTCGGCATAACGCGGTGAGTTTCATTGTCACTTTTGTGCGGGAATGAGTAAAGCATACAGAAAATAGGGCCAGTGCGAGCCTCTGCGAAGCAGAGGTGACGCTTGGTACTACTATAGAAAGGTCGTCAAGAACTACACACTGGTTATGGTTGCTTCCCCAAAAAAACGCAAGCCTGAGTTTTATTTTAGTTTTTTCAAAAAACAACTCTAATTTCCTTTATCAACCTAATTTCTTCAAAGGAAACCTGTTCAAGACATCCAACAAAGTCGTCTGGATAAAATAGATGCTCTTTGCCATCCTCTATGCATCGGATGTGTGCTGATGAGTTTCTTGGCTGAAAATGGCCCTTGGCAGTGCTTGCACATGACCCCACCTGCACCTCACCGCTGACTTGCACCTCTTTGCAGGCTTGTAACTCGACCTGTAGTCAATATTTGAGCCTGCAATTAGGCTCATTCGAAAGAACGAGACCTCCTCTACACGATGGTATGCAAATGAGTTGAGTCTGAGAAATTTCAGAGATTTGGCGGATGGGGTGATAGAGGGCAGCTTCAGTTGTAGTTTAAGCACTTTTCAGCTAAAGTTGAAGAGAGCTCCTTTCGCCACCAATTTTATCCTGGAAGTTCAAAACTGTCAATTTTCTTGTAATAGATCCACTTCGAAGCTCTAAGACTGTTCTGATGTTCATAAGAGCTTTCACTCCAATCACCTCTACACCCTAAGGAATACTGTAGAGCTGAAAACGATCTAAACGCTCACCATTGTTGGCGTGAAAGCACGCACTGGGGCAGTGGTCGTTAAACGGCTTCGTTGCTTAATGCTGAAACGCGGAGCAACACGCGCTTGGCTCATACTTACCGACTTCTTCAAAAGCGGTTTTGGGTTGGCATCTCACAAACTATCGCAAGATTTTGCAATGTCAGGTTTTATCGCCTTCCAGCAATAAACTGGGCGGAACGTTGCGGATGTACGCGCACAGTTGCGGATTTGCGGGATTCTTTCCCGTACACTTCCGTTGATTTTTCTCTTTTCCTCTTCTAGTCATGATCTTTGTCGCTGGGCGCAACTGCCTTGCATTTGGCGCAAAATGCGGACGGCCCATATCCTATCTCACTAGCGAACCAAAAACGGCTATGCCATTCACCCGATTCAACTTTTGGATCAAGGTTACATATCATGGACATAATGAGAGCATGAGCTGCAAAGTGGTAATGATAACTCAGCCGCTTTTCCCTGGAACTTTTCGAGAAAATAATACGTGGATCAAAAATACTTCGAAATAGAACTGCGGACTCACGCTCTCCATATGTCCTTTCCCTTGATCTACACCTGCAACTTGGTAAATAACCTTCCAATCCAACGAATTGAATTTGTCTATAGCTTTTATGTAGCTATTCGACAATTTTTCGGTAGCCTCCGTTCTTTTTCTGAAGTGTAAGATCAGAAATTTTAGTTTTCTGTCACAAACAAACTCCTTACACTTTAAGCTTAACACATATTCCTTTCTTGTCACATTCCAATTGGTATTCCTCGTTATCGCATGTTTTATTTGCCATAACTTCCAGCTGTGTTTGAAAAGAACATCCATCCTAAATTTTACACAAGTTGCTGTTGATGTACAGAAACTTTTGAGTTACCATCGAAAAATAATGGTCTCTCTTATTTTTAGTATTAGAGGTCATCACAGGAGTGCGGAAAATTTCGACTCCGTCTTTCTGTAGTTGTTGTTCAACTTCTCCGAGCAACTCGGGGTTCATGCACATCCCTAAATTTAGATTTTTTGATGCATATACTCCTTACTGATGGTAGTAGCTACAAAATTTCAAAGAAAAGAGAAATGCCTTGTTTGTGTCAAATCTTCAGGTATAGGGCAATCATATAGACACTGTTGCGACCGCGCGCAAATAAAAATTTACGAAACTGGATTTTTTTTTTGATTCCATCTCTACTTGAATCTTTTTTTTTTTGCATACACGAAACCGTCGATCTCAAAGGTAAGCGGGCGGAGCATCGCCAACGTATACGCGTGGCAGTGGGTAGCTAAAAAGTACGAAGGGTAATGTTTTAGAATGAAGAGAAAAACATTGTAAATAAACCAATTAACAAAATTTTTCAATATGTACAAATTTCTGCAGTGCATCTGTTGCTAAACTCTCGGGAGTCGCCTATAGCATTTAGATACTGGAAATAACTAAACTTAGTACTAAAAAATGCCTTTTGTTTAAGTGACTTATGCTTCTGTGAGCGCAAATACCACAGTCGAAGTCGTCACTTTTTAAAGAGTGCCCTACAATTTTTACGAGTGTATCTTTAGATTGCCTCTTACTGATTACCATCGTCCTCTTTTCGAAAATCACCAATGGATCATTATGACTCAAGAGGCCGGTGGAGATAAAGCACAGCACTCCTGAAACTTGAAATGAGGGCTGAGAGTGCTGAGCTCTACCGCAATCGGGCAGCTCCACTTCTAATTCAAAAATCTCCACTACCATAAAACTTAGTGAAATTGAGTATATCTGCGACTAAAAGTTAAAATATTATAGCCAATTTATAGTTATTCATAACAAGACAGAAAAGTTGAAATCCTTCAATAAGACTTTGCAGCTTTCAGGAAAAATTGCAAGCCAGAGGCAGCTCAACTCTTGTGATTTAGCAGTTAACTGGTGTTCTTGCGTTGCCAACAGTATGCTTGTCTTGATAAATGGCCATGGAGTACAAAGCTTGTAAGGGTGCGTCCAGGGCCCGGCGGGGGTGGCGCTTTCACAAGCTGGATATCGTTTTTGGCCCGAAAAAGCAAAGGGGGGAGTCGTATTTTGGGGTCCGGGGCGGAGTCCCGGACCCCAAAATACGATTTTATCCTTTGTTTACCGATAAACAATGCACATATCATTCTTTATTCATCATTCCTTATCCTATGAACTTAGATTCCAGCAATGTGAAGATTCTGTGCTCCGATCGCTAGCCTGCCCGCAGGCGGGAATTCAAACCGCAATTCTTGTAAGAGGAAAATAACAAAATAGGCTCGTTTTCAATGCACAAGTAACGATATGGCACCAAATTTGCTGTGTAGTTGGAAGACCATGAGCACAAAAAAAGTATGAAGAATTATGAGAAACTTATGTGAATTTAAAAAATGGTAAGTGTTTTTCGAAATTAGGTGGCTCCCGCGCCACCTGGGAGCCACCTGGGGTGGCTCCCTGCTTCCCTTCACATAATTTCCCGGATTTCTTTACATAAATGTGGACTAGGTCGAGAGTATTACTATATGTTCAAATCCGTTTCCAAAACCACCAACGCACCGCTTCGATACAACCCCAAATAGGGTTCACAGCGTTATGATCGGCCTCGGAAAGCGCGCTCTAATCGCAATCGGTTATAGTAAATTGTAAAGTTTCGCAGCTGACTAATAAATGAGTAGTATCTTAGATATATAAACGTCAAAGTTTGTGCAAATCTTGACCCTATGGTTTTTTATAGACTCCTTTGCGGATGAACCCATTGAGCTGAAACCTTGATGACCCGGGCTGGACCAGGAAAGGTAGTACTACTATAATAAGCGCTGAGGCCGCCCATCTTATTATTTGTGTATATCTGTTTGTCAGGGACTTACGGGGGTCAAAAATAGGGTCAAAGGGGAAGTCGTAAGAAATTTTGGCTTCAAAGGGTATATCGTTTTCAAAATTCTGAAATGCCACCTCCTGCCGGGCCCTGGGTGCGTCCATGCACAGATTTGCAATAGAATGTTACTAGCACTGCAGAGACATATCTTCTGGAAAATTTATAGAGATATGTAAGTGTCACAGCGCGCAACACAACAGCGCGATGATACGCCAAGAGCAATCTGAAGCTACCATCAAAATTGCGAGCCAGAGTGGAAGTGAACCTCATCCAGCAGTATACAGTTGCGTTCGTCAAACACTAGCATTGTCGGGTAAATAAGGCATAAGAGCGATAGCGGGGAGGGGCATGTGAAGAAACTCTCGGCTGTCCTTTTTTACAGAGTGAAGGGGGTCGGATTTTTGAAGCCAAGAAGCAAAATATCCCAGCAACAACAAACTATTCGAAAGATAACATCATGGAAAATCAAAAAAAAAAGACCGACCACTATTTCTAGGTCTTCTGAGTCGTGAGATATGAGGAATTTCATCGGGCCGATGTATCAAGTGATTTAGCGTGCTCACTTTCTGTTCTAAAATAGTAACAGAAAGCTACGAAGAAGTCGACAGTCTATGTTTATTGACGAAGACTCGCTCTGCAACATAGATAGAAAATTAGCGGTAGTTAGGTCTTTGTTGGGCAGAAGGGGGCCATCGGTTCTGGCTGAACGGTGAAGGGGGTAAGATCCGCCGTTCCCCTATTGCAACTATGCCGTAACGCCTCGAGCATACTTTACGCGACTCAGTGCTCTAATTTTTGGTGTCAGCGTCTATGTCGAAATCACTAGAACATCATTTGTGTCAAACCAGATTTTATGTCAGGAGAATCATTTGTGGTTAGAAAAGAACACTTAAAAATCAAAATGCAACACTTTTGGAAAATCAAAATGCAACACTTTTGGAAAATCAAAATGCAACACTTTTGCTGTGTTCTTTACATCTCGCTAAACCTTGCTGAAATATCATTTGGTTTTGAAAGTTGTTCTTTCGCATTGATGCAGCGAACGTTTAATAGGCCACAAAAAACCGCAAACTGCTGTACGCCTACCTGAAAGAGAAACTTTCGATAAAGTTCTCCACCTCTCAAAATTTGATTGACTGCTTCCAAAAAGCCCGGGTTATCTCGCTATAGTGTGGACCCCGGCCAGGTTCCCATGGGTACTTCCGCAGCTCGCACGCAGCGCGCGCCCTTCTCAATGCTTCTCGCCTCACTCATGAGCAGTAGAGCATATTTATGCTCACAAGGGAGAAAAATGTAAAGTGGAAACCTCTAGGTTCCCTTCGAAAGAGACATGCAAGAATGAAACGCAGGCAACTTCCATGAGTACCTCAAATTCAATCAATGGATGCATTTTCCGAACTTGCACTGATGGATAGGTTGTAATAAGTATACGCAGAAGAATTAAAGAGCAACAGCACTATTAAAACATTTTTCTTTGTAGACATAGAGTTTAGAGTGGTCAAAGATTGCAAAAAAGTGGATATTTCAGTAAACAAATGCCTATTGGTTTCTCGGAAGGCTCAATTTTGACTTGAGACACTGTCTACACCTTACACATCAAAGCGAAAGGGACTCTTATGTTATACAAGAAGCTTTTGAGAAATATTATCTTAATATCCAATCATCTCAATTTTTCAGAAAAAAAGGGAAAACACAAGACTACAACACAAGACTGAAGCTCTTAGAACTATTAGAGCACAATAATCTTGTCACCGGTCATCGCGAGTTGTTTGTACCTAAAATAGAGAGAATATAGTACACCAAAAACAAAAAAAGAGAGAGAAAGGAGGATTCCCATCAGAAGCTAGGACAGGAGACGCACTGAAGGGGTGCGTTGCGGGTGCGTCGCGCAGGTACCTATGGGAAGCTGGCCGGGTCCACACTATACCTTGTAGTTACTCAAGAAGTTGGCAACTCAGACAATCGCCGGGGATTAGCGAATCGCGATCTTAGCCTTTTTTTCAGCGTTCAGTCATTAGTTAATGGCGTGGACAACTTCAGACAATGCTTCTTTTAATTCGTATGATCTGCGGATAAGCAGCCATGCAGGGTTCTTTGAGAGCATGTGTTCTGTAAGGCTCAAAGGCCCAAAACACGCAAAAATATGGAAATGCAAAATCTGCCGGGACACTGCTTTTAAGCTTGACCTTTTGTAACTCACTGGAGAGTTTATAAAACAGCCTGAAATTTCTATGATAAAAAGCAGGAGGATGGCCTCATATTACAGCACATTTACAAACAAGCTCAAATAGCTCCCAAAAACTTTAGTTGCGATGCACATAAGACCCCCTTATTTCAGTTTTTGTCGCCATACATAGAATTATAAAATCCACAGATTACGAAATAAGACAAGATTTTGCACAAATGTAGCAGAGCTTCTCCAAAATACAGACAAATTGTATGGGCCCGTGAAAAACATTGCAAAAAGATTTAAAATTATTGATGGTTATCATCGGTAAAGGTATTCATTTTTGTCGAGTGTGTAAGACTTCAGGGAAGCTTCTGAAGCAAGATTTTAAGGCCAGTCAACACATTCAGAATTTTTGTCAAATCGTACATCCTTCAAGAGTGTTTTGAGAATTTCTTCAAAAATTTTATCTTTATTATTCTGATTTCTGCAGTTTTTTATAAATTTATTGTAAAGAAAATGCAAATTACCTGCTTTTTGATATCCTTCTAAACTCGCGGTTTTTGGACAAATTACTTCCTTTTACGGCCCCCCTCCCTACCTAAGGTGCCCATTAGGGCTCGGCACAGATCGTCTGGAAACAGACTGGACTTCGTTTTTGGAGCAAAAAGCAAAGGGGATGTTTTTAACGAGTTGGGGCTGAGCACAAAGAATAACCGCCATTTAGTCGAACACAAGCTTTTAGGACAAGTTATCACACAATTTAAATGGTTTATCGTGTATGATGAAAAGTGCGCGCGATTTGAAAGTAAGGCTAATATAAACAAATAGCTTGTTTACAGCGCACACAGAATCTCATGGCACCAAAATTGAACCGTTTACATAGAAAATCATTTGCGGAAGAACTATGTAAAAAGATTTGAAAACTTATGTGAAGTAATGCCTTTTTCAAAATTAGATCGTCTCCAGACGGTCACC